GGGTGGATTGGCCGTGCTAAATTGTCCCGTAGTGCCCAGGGATGTGCGGGTTAGGGTGGATTGGCCGTGCTAAATTGTCCCGTAGTGCCCAGGGATGTGCGGGTTAGGGTGGATTGGCCGTGCTAAATTGTCCCGTAGTGCCCAGGGATGTGCGGGTTAGGGTGGATTGGCCGTGCTAAATTGTCCCGTAGTGCCCAGGGATGTGCGGGTTAGGCTGGGATTGGCCGTGCTAAATTGTCCCATAGTGCCCAGGGATGTGTAGATTAGGTGGGTTATAGGGAGGTGGGTCTGGGTGGGATGCTCTGAGGGTCAGTGTGGACTTGTTGGGCTGAAGGGCCTGTTTCCACACTGTGGGAAGCAATGAACAGCGTTCACTATGGCAACGATATTCCACAGAGAGGAGACACTGCTGGAGGAACAGCCAATGCCAACATGCACACGTGCCAGTAGGGAACTTGCCCTATTTAAAGACTCTATAGGCCGTGCAAATGTAGAGACTGATGAAAGTGGAACTGACGAGTCAGCACGCTAATATTGATAACACCTATGTGACTTATAACTTTAAATTAATGGATAGTCTTTTGAGGAAAAGGGGCGAATGGTTGGAAAAATATAATAGTGTCATTATTGTGCTGCCTTTTGCGATCTCCATCGCTGCTCTAAGTGCCTTTTTGCGCCTATGACACACGTAACCACATGAAAGACGAGGAGTCACAAGCCTGAACTAGGCCGAGCTACGCCAGGGTAGGCCTCACCAGCCAGATCTTGTCTGAACTAGGCCCGGCTAGGTTTCATTAGCCTAAATCAGGCCCGACTAGACTTCACGAGACAAAACCGAACCCAATGATACCTAATTCAACTTTGTTAGTGTGAAATAGACACAGCTAGGCTTATTTGCTCGAATTTCAGCCCAACTAAGCTTCAAAACTGCAAACGAAAGCCTAACTCAACACAACTACGCTTCATGAGTTGAACCAGACACAGCTAAGGCTTCATTAGCCTGAAACGGGCCCATTTAGACACAACTAGTTTCTCAATAGCCTGAACTAGGCCCGACTGGACACAACTGGGCTTCAGAAGCCTGAACTAGGCCCAACAGGATGCAACTAGGTTTTGCTAGGCCGAACTAGCCACAACTGGACACAACTAGGCTTCACGAGCCTGAACTAGGCCCAACTGGACAGAACTAGGCTTCATAAGCCTGAACTAGGCCCAACTGGACACAACGAGGCTTCATAAGCCTGAACTAGGCCCAACTGGACACAACGAGGCTTCATAAGCCTGAACTAGGCCCAACTGGACACAACGAGGCTTCATAAGCCTGAA